TTCAGCTCACATATAATTTTACTGCCCCAGTTTGCTAGGCTAAGCAGGCTTTGAGTTAGGGCAGGGTGACAGAAAACAGCCTTGAAGTCTCTTGACTTCATTTCCTCCTCACTTGTTTCCCAGAGCTTCACACAAACATACAGAAAGGGAAGGGGACTTTAAAGGGAAGATTTGAGCTTGCTGGGGAAGTGGGTCATTGTCTGTACAAGCAGATGGGTGCTCGATGTGCCCAGCAGGCAGTGCAGTGAAATGCACACTGGGGAGGCTCTGAGTGCTTTCTTTCCTCGTGCAGGGACGGGAGAGTGCTGGGAGTGCTGGAGGTGTCCCGCTCCATTGGGGATGGCCAGTACAAGCGCTGCGGTGTCATCTCTGTGCCAGACATCAAACGCTGCCAGCTCACACACAATGACAGGTAACGTGTGCCCTTGCACAGGGGCAGTCTGTCCCAGCCCTGTTTGCTCTGCTGTGAGAGCCAAGGCACTTCAGACTGATCCCCCCAGAATTAGAGGATGCTCTTACTGCTGCTGTCTCTCTGCTTCTGTTCCTTATTACAACAGTGGGATAATCTGCTGCTCTGCCAAGATGCTGGGAAGGCTCCTCTTGGAGGAACCAGCCTCACAGCAATAGCATACACAGGCCTTAGATGTCCTCTGATTAAGTTCACAAATCAGTGTTCAAGCAGGTAGTTGAGGCTTGAGTTCTTGGGTCTCCATTCTGTCCAGGAGTTGTTTTTAGCAGCTGTGGTGCCAATAAAGACTTTTGCATTCAGCTGTGATATTTGAAGATTTGAGATACTTTTCCATGATATGATTGGCAACGACAAATTGCAGTGAGCTTTTGTGTCAGTATGGCCCTGCAGACTCTCAGAGGTGAGTGTAACCCAGTACTGCTGCTTTTTCTGGGATTAGAGTTCCATATCAAGTGATCCATTAAAATATTTCTAAAGATACTCTTGAGTATCATGCACTGAAATGATGTCTTCAGAGGCATGTGCAGACTGACCACTTCTGTGGGTTTGTTGTAGTTTTCCTTGCCCTGGGGACTCAGGTTAGGGCTCCTGGTTAATACAATTCCCTGTGCAGGCAGGGAGTGCACAGCAGGCTGCCTCCCCATCCTAAGGGGGGTGCTGCCCTTGCCTTGGGCTTTGTATCTCCTCAACCTTCTGCAGCCTGTGGCAGTATTTTGTGTCAGAGTTTTCTGATCACAGTTGTGTCATGTGTTTTTCTTTTGAATTTTCATATTTAAATTACCACATACCTCAGGAGTGTAGAAATGTAAAGTGATGTACATGAGGGATTCATCTTTGTTTCTCTATTTCCTTGCATTAGCTGCTTCACAGGGATAATACATGAATGAAAAGGACTCAAAGGAAAGAAGCAGTTCTTAGAAAAACAATGGAGCATTTGACCAGGATCATACATGATCTTGCCAGTGTTGTAGCACAGCCAGGATGTCCTGATCAAGGCCTTGCATTAGTTGCCTGGCTCTTTGCCCTGTATTTTGAATTGCCATGAATAGTAGGTCCCAAGGGATTTTCAGATGAGCTTTTACAGCATCTTCCCTTTGGATCCAAGTGTGGATGTTCATAAAATAGATTGGAGTGATTTTGTTGTGGTTGAGAAGCCAAAAATTCAGCCTTGGAATCTGTCTCCACTTGATTTCCAGGTTCATTCTGATAGCATGTGATGGCCTCTTTAAAGTCTTTACACCAGAAGAAGCTGTGAACTTCATTGTGTCCTGCCTGGAGGTGAGGAGAAGTGGCATGGGGGGGCTGGGTTTGTCACTGCAGAGGGCACAAAATGGGCTTCTGCCAGAGTGTCCTCTAGGTGTCCCCTAGGCTGTCTGCATTTGTTTTGCTTCCCAATGTTTGGAAAACACAACCCCACTGTCGCAGGCGGCAGCAGGGGCAGAACCATTATAACAGGGGGGAAACTGGGATAAACCAAAGTACAACTTAATGCAATTAAAACATATAAAAACACAATACAACACCCCACCTTTGCTGGGAGCAGTGAGATTGCTCTGTCCCAACAGGATAAGAATATCCAGATGAGAGAAGGGAGGCTGGAGGCCGACGCTCGCTACGAGGCCGCGTGTAACAGGCTGGCCAGCAAGGCCGTGCAGCGCGGCTCGGCCGACAACGTCACCGTCATGCTGGTGCGCATCGAGCACTGAGGCACCTGCTCAGCCAGGGGAGAGCTCTGTGGGCATGCATGTGTGCCTGCAGGAGCCTGGCTCCTGCTGGGTGCTCTCCAGTGTAAATAAAGATGGGGTTTTTTCTAATAGCTTGATTGTGACGGTGTTCGCAGGGGTCTTAGATCCTCGTCTCTTTCCTTATCCTGACCCCATGTTTCAGAAGGCTTGATTTATTATTTTATGATCTATATTATATTAAAACTATACTCAAAGAATAGAAGAAAAGGTTCTCCTCAGAAGGCTGGCTAAGCTAAGAATAGAAAGGGCAGAATGAAAACAAAGGCAGCTGTCCCAGACTCTCTGTCCAAGCCAGCTGACTGTGATTGGCCATTAATTAGAAACATCCCCATGAGACCAATCCCAGACCCACCTGTTGCATTCCACAGCAGCAGATAACCATTTTTTACATGTCATTCCTGAGGCCTCTCAGCTACTCAGGAGGAAAAATCCTAAGGAAAGGATTTTTCAGAAAATGTGTCTGACAGCTGCTGTCACTGTAGAGCACAGCACAAAGCACCAAGGCTCCATCAGAAGGGTGTGCAAGAGAGATTTATTAGAGCAACATGTTACTTTTATAGTTTTTCAAAGATATTCACATTTCACTTAACAGGCACATTCACTGCCCATTGGTCATAAGAAAGAAACAAAGTTCTCAATAGGTGAACAAGGAGCCACATCATTCTGTGAGCCAGCTAGAGTCTGTATCTTTTAACTTTCTCTCCTTCATCACATCGCCTTGGTGTCTTCCTTGAGAGAGATATGGGGCTTTCCTTATCTTTAGGAAGCCTTTGCTTGCTCACAAGAACAGCACAAAATGCCTTTCCTACAGGTTTAGCTCACTTAGTGTTGAATGTCTCTGCAAACACAGTGAATTCACTTGGCAGGGGTGCTACCAGGAGGCATCTGGGGGCATCAGCTGTGCCAGCTTTTAATGGGACAGTTCTGCTGTCCACATCCTTGAGCTTTGTGCAAGTCCCTGGGAGAGTCAGGAGTTCCAGGACTCAGACAGGCTGTACCATACAGACTGTGAGATCCTCCAGGCCATCAGTTTGGGATCTGGTATGAGCTGTCCTTCACACTGGGTAGGAAATCTGGCTCTGAAGCTGGGCTGTGAAGTTGCCTGCAGCTGAGGGGCACAAACACCCTTGCAGAGCAGCAGCATACCTGCCCTGTGCTTGCAGAACACGTTGGAGTTTTACCACAAAGTTTGTATGGAAAACATGGCTGGAGTTTGCTCCTGATGTTTTTTGGAAAAAGCATTTTCACCAAATGGACTTGGTGAAAAGGCAGCTGAGCTGCAGGCAGGCTCTGTGTGCTATCTGAGGAGAAGGCATCTCAGGTTTTAGGTACTAATTAGTGTCTGGTGTCTCATCCTGTCTCAGTGCCTCTGCCAGCTGTTGCTGCAGTCAGTGTGCTGTTTTCCAGAGAAAATTTGGCCTAAGACCAAATGACAGAATGAAAGCTAAATGGATTGGGCTACCTAAGCCCTGAAGTTTCCCATTTCCCACCCTGGGTGTGAGGGGGCTCCCAGGGAGGAAGGTGGGCTGAGGGATGTGCATTGTGGTTGCCTCCTTGCTCTGATGAGGCACAGCTGTAGTCCCAGGGGATGGGGGCAAGGGCAGGGTGGTGCCTGCTGTTTTGTGCAGGGCTGTGAGGCTTCCCTGGCTCCTTTCTGTTTTCTGTACCCCTGGAACTCTGGGATTTGGTCCCAGCTCCTGGGCTGTTTGCTGGAGCACACGATGGCTGTCCTGTTGGCGACAGGTGGCTTGACCATCTTAATTCTATTTCTGCTCCAGCAGTAGTGAGTTACACTTCATGGGCTGAGGGTGCACACTGACTCTCTGCATCTCCTGCAGAGCACTGAGGAAGGAAGTGGCCCTCTGGCACAGATTTTGGGTAGTGCTTGTCCTCTGCCAGCTTGTTATGCTCCCAGCCATTCCTGTGTGTTTTGGTGTAAGGTTGCAGTGCAGGATGAGCTGGGAGGGAATGCCTTTGTTAGCAGCACACTCTCCTGTTTCTACTCTTGAAAGGCAAATTTGGAGAGCCCAGAGCAGCATGGAGTTGCTTCTGTTTGTGGCAAAATAAACCCTGATGGCAAATTTCAGAAAGGCAACTTGCTTTCCCTTCTCAGCTCCCCCTTTTTCCAGACCCAAACACCCCTACCCATGAACTGCTGCATTAACAGCTCCTTCACCAGGCTCCTCAAGGAGATGCAGCCCGTGGAGAAGGGCAGGGACATCCCTGGGAGAAGGTGGGGCTGTTAGCTCAGGCTATCTTGCAGTGCTGCTGGCACCACTTGCCCAGCTCTGAGTGCTACTGGGAAATCAAACGCTCACCGTTCCTGGTGCAGCCCTGGCTGTGTCACGTAGCCTGTGCCCTGCTGAGCCCAGGGGCAGCTATCACTGCCAGAGCAAAGAGCTGGGCTCTATCTGGGCTGCCACAGCCAGGCCCTGTGCCACAGGCAGGGAGTGCCTGCTCTGCAAAGCCACGGGGCAGGAATTTGCTTTTATCCAACGTGCAGCATTGTTGGGACTTTGCTTTGGTGATTGGTGGGAAGGATGTTGGCTCCTGCCAGAAGCCCCTGCTCACACACTGCAGGGAGCTAAAGCAATGCAGAATCTGGCCTGGGCTGCTGAGACTAAGTCTGGGCAGGGAAGGGAAGTCCACCAAGGGCAAAAATGGACCTGTGGGGCTTTGTACCAGGCACGGTGGGAGCTGAGCCCCAGGCAGCCATCTGCTGCCACTGTCAGCAGTGTTTTCCAAGATAAACTTCTAGGCCTAGCCTTCAGATAAAAGTGAATGCCTTTAGGTCCTGCTCAGGCTTCTTTATTACTATCATCATCATCATCATCATCATCTTCTTCTTCATGATCTTTTGTCCATCTTCAGCTGGTTCTGCAGCACGAGCAGTGTCAGACCAGACTGCAGCTCCCTGTATGAGCAAATGGTCTTCCTTAGGCTGGGTGCTGAGCAGGGGAGACGATGGTGGCTGGCACAGGGAAGGGTGTGGCTGCTCCTGGCACAGGTTCAGCACGGTTCAGCCTCTTCACACTCCCAGCAGCACAGCACTGAAATCGGAGCCACTTTGAATGGTGAGAGGAGAGCCTGCAGTGTTGTCCACAAAGACAGAGGCATACTGGCCAGCCTGGGGGGAGAGAGGGGTTAGCAGGGCAGGACACCTCCCCTGGGCACCAGGCATGGCCTGGCAGGGCCAAGGAGAGAGCTCTGCCTGCACACAGCAACCAAGAGCTGGAGGAGCTGCCCCTACCCTTCCTTCTGGGAAAGGAGCAGCACAAGGCCTTTAGGGCAGCCCAGCCACAGGCTGTGCCCTAGCAGAGCTCTGACCTGACTGTCTCTGGGACCTGATGCCCAGCCCTGGCCTGGGGCCATGGAAGGCACCTTCCTGCCCAGCACTGTGCCAGTGGAGCTGGCCCCACTCACCTGCAGGTAAAGGGTGCCCGTGACAGAGATGGTGAAAAGGTCCCCGCTGCTCTCCAGCTGGGACACACTCTCCAGGTGGCTGCAGAAGAGCAAGGGCAGTGGTGGGGGAGCAGCCCCTCCTTTCCCAGCGATGCTGGGCTCCTTCCCCCGTCCCTGGCCCTGGCCCTGGCCCGTACCTGTTGTGCTGGCAGCAGGACTGCACACAGATCAGCACCCGCAGGCGGCTCCCTCGCCATCCCTGCCTCTTCCTCCGCGGCTCCCTGCGCGCTGGGACAGAGTGGGGGGTGAGGCCATCCCAGCCTGCCCCGGCAGCGCCGCGGGGCTGTCGGAGGCCTCACCGATGTGCAGCGTGCTGCTGAAGGTGTAGAATCCTGCAAGGGGGGCTGTGTACTGCCCGCTGGTCAGGTTCAGCCCCGGGCCACGGTGGAACATCTCCTCCCTCTCAGGCTGGCATAGGGAATGGCTCGAGTTAGAGGAGGAGTCCCTGTGCCAGGACAGGTGCCCCTGCAGACAGGGAAAAGGGGCAGGCTGGGCACTCACAATGTAGAACGGTCCCAGCTCCTGCCACGCCTTCTGCTCCACAGCGATGTCTGCACGCGTTTGGCAATGGAAAGCTGCTTCCACACGACGCTGAGCCCCGGCCTGGCCGCCGCCTTTGCTGCTTTGCTCCTCCTTAGACCCTTCCCCAGCTGTCCTGCACATCTTTGCCGTGCCTGACCCCGAACCCCACCGAGTCTGACGTTAGGAAGGGAACCTTCACTTTTCCTGGCTCTGCTGCCCAGCCCTGCTTCGCCTTGTCCCGCTGTCCCACCCTGTGTCCCAAGCCCGGTACCTCTGAGCAGGAGCTGCAGCTCCCTCAGCAGCTCCTCGGGCACGGCGGGGGCGGCCGGGCCGGCCCCGGGTCCCGCGGTTGTTTTTCCCGGGGAGCCGGGGCCCGCTGCTGCCGTGAGAGCCCCGGAGCCGCCGCGGCCCCGCTCGCCGCTGCCCCTCCCGGGGCTCCCGGCCAGCAGCATCCACGCCTGCCGGGGATCCACGCGGGGCTCCCCGCGTCCCGGGGCCAGCGGCCGCTCCCGGGCTGCCCGCGGCGCTTCGGTGCCGCTGCCGGCGGCGTAGAGGAGCGCCAGGCACAGCTCCGGCAGCCGCATCCCGCCGCCGCTACCGGAGGGCGGCCCGGCCCCGCCTCGGGCCCGCCTCGCCACTGGGCTCTGCCCTCGGGGCCGCCCCGCCGGGAAAAGCTCCCGCGGGCCCAGCGGGGCAGCGCCGGGAGAGGGACGTGCCAGCCCCGGGGCTCCTCAGCGCCCCGTGCTTGTAACGCCTCGAAAGCACCGAACAAGGGGGGAAAAAAGCGGAGGGGAAACAGCTGAGCCGTCCTGCGGGGCTGGCTGTGGGCCCAGCCGGCGGGGAAACCTCAACTTGTGCTCGCCCATCCCTCTGCCACCGGCTGGGGCAGGAGCCACCGCACCAGCAGGGCTCACCCAGGTGCCAGCTGCTTCACCATGGCCATGGATCACTTCCCTGGGGTGCGTGCTGAGTATCCCAGCAGAGAAACCAGGATTATGCACAAGCAGCAATGTCAGGCTTTGATGCGATGAACCACACTTAAAATACCCTAAAATCTTTAGGGTTTGGGGGGGTGGGAAATGCAATTCTAAAAAAAACACAAACCCACAAATGAAAAGAAGAGAGCATTAACCAAAGCGTGTTTATAAGGAAAAGCCTTTTCCCTGCAGTGGTGGGGGAGAACATGCTCCTGGTGCCCCAGCCAGCCTGGCACAGGGCTTTCCACCTCCCACTCACCAGTCTGAACAGGCAGCAGAGAAAAGGGGAGCACGGCTGCATAGGGTGACAAGCATTACTGAGGCTCTCCTACCACCCATGGTCACCCTGGAAAGGTTCTGTCCATTTGGAGGTGTCCATGAAGATGGAGGAGGAGCTGTGGAAGAGCCAGAGGCAGGGCAGGGAGCCCTCACGTGTCCAGAGGTCCTTGGAGCAGTCGTACACCTCCATTTCTACCCGGTAGTCCCCATCCATGCCCTTCCAGTGGCCACCGGTGACAAAGAGCCGGTCACCCAGTGCCACCATCCCACCGTTCTCATGCAGGGTGTGTAGGAGCTGCACCTGTGTGAGGGACAGGGTGAGACGTGCAGGGACTCCTTGGTGACCTCCTACTCTCACCACAGAAGACAGTGACCCCCCCCAGATGTGTCTCCCTACCCCATCTTTTCTTTCTGTGGGGTTTGGGGGCCTCTGGTGCCTCGTGCCTGTATGATGGGGAGTAGGGGAGGAAGGAATGGGGCACCCTCAGCTCTGCAGGTGTAAATAGAACCAAGGGATGAGTGGGTAGGAGGGAGAGGGGGTGCTGGCACTGAGGGGAGGCAGCTGGGAACACCATCCCCATAGCCCTGGGAGGCTGATCGTGCCTGGTCCCACATCCCACCTTCTGCCAGATGTTGGCCTCTGGGTTGTACACATGGACCTTCTTGGTGTTATCCCCGATGAGGTAGATGAGCCCACGCAGAGTGGCACAGCGTGGGGCTGAGAGGTACTTGGGGATGAAGGGAGATGTGATCACACTCCACAGATCTGCAAGGAGCAGTCATTAGCAGCGCACCCCACCCTTGGCTCTCCATGCAGCTGCCATTGCTGAAAAAAGCATTGCTATTTCAGGGGGAATTTGAAAGGGAGGGGGCAGACCAGCCAGGCAGACGGGCACCACAGTCCCCCATCCCAGTCGAGGGTCTTGCACAGGGGGGTAGGGATGTGGCTTGTACTGGTGCTGTGGGATGGGAAGGAGTCTACTTGAGGAGGTGGCATTGTCACAGGGTGTTAGTTTCTCCCTAAGGCAGGCAGCTGTGGGAGCTGCTTAGCTCATCCCAATGCCCCAGAGATTGCACTCCACTGAAGCTCAGCTCTGGGGTGTGTCAGGCACCCGTGACTCAGGTTTGTGCTGCTAACAGCCCCACCACAGCCACCACCACAGCCTCTCAGCACCTGCTCACATCCCACAGGACCGTGCCTGGCAGTCCAGGGCTGTCACCTGCCTGGGGGTCCCCCTCAGTCCCTGTCCCACTGGCGGGGGTGGCAGCAGGGCCATCTCTCACCTTGAACGGGGTTGTAGCACTGCAGAGTGAGCGCGTTGTACTTGACGGCGCAGGAGCCCACCAGGTAGAGCTTGCCCAGGCAGCTGGCAGCTGCAAAATTGCTCACGTACTTGAGGGCTGGGCTGATGGCACACCAGCTCTTGTTGTATGGGTCGTAGCGCTCCACCTCCACCACGTCCACCGTTGTCCCTGCAGGGTGACAGGACACTGCAGCCACCCTGGGGCACCCATAGAGCCCCAGCCCAGCAGCACCCCCAGGGTCTCTGCAGCCTCACCCCCGATCACGTAGATCTCGCCGTTGAGGACGGCGCTGGTGTGGTTTGTCCGGGCTCTCAGCATGGATGCGATGGGCTGCCAGACCCCATCCCTGGGGCAGAAACACCAGGCCTGTGTTGTTGACCACGTGTCATTCTGGGACCCCCGGGAGCCACCTAGAGAGAGACAGGTCAGGTGGGCCACCCTCTCCAAGTGCAGCTGTCCCTGGGTATTCCTTGCCTGTGGCCAGATTTGCCCAAGCAGAGAGTAAGGAGAGGATTTTGCTCAGAGAGGAGCCTCTGAGCTCATATCACTGTTCCCTGTCCCCCATCCCTGCTCCTTGAAGCCCCCACCCTGCACCAGCAGCTCTGGCACTGACCTGTGACATACACATCATTGTTCAGAGCCACCAGGGAAAAGCCCCACTTGTTGTAATCAGGGAAGTCGGGCAGAGCCATCCATCGCCCTGAAACACAGCAGAGCCAAGCAATCACCCCACAGCCAGCTATGGCTCTTTGTAAGCCACCCCTGTGTTTCAAGCCCATCCCAACGCAACCAGTGTCTCTCTAAACTGACACTAGTTTGGCAAGAGGTGGCCTCGGGGTAGACAGATGGTTAATTAACATGGAGGGAGCTGGAGGAAGTGGGGGGCACTTACTGCTCTTGGGGTTGTAGAAGGCAAAGTTCCTGGTGGCAGCCGGCATTTCCAGCCCCCTCTCCTCATCCTCACCATCCTCCAGCACACGGCCACCAACCACCACCAGCACCTCCTCCAGCTTCTGTGGTGGGGTTGGGGGGTTCTTCAGGGCACCGGTGCCACTCTGTCCCTGATGAAGAGGCCAGGACAGGACCATGAGGCTCCTCCTTCCCAGCTCAGGGAGTGGCATTGAGGGAAGGGGGTACCCACCATGGTGCGGGAGCGGGCGACGAGGGCCTTGCTGGCATCTGAGTCACGAACAAGAGGCTCAGTGGCGAGGAGGTTCTGCAGGTACTGGTCAGGCAGCGAGACAAGGTGGGTCAGCTCCAGCAGCTCCGGCAGGAACTGGGCTCGGGATCCCGGGTCGTGGCGCACCCAGCGCAGCACAGCCTCAACCAGGCTCCGCTCCTCCTGTACCTGCAGCTGGTCATTGGAGAGGTAGACAGCCAGCCTCTCCTTGGAGAGCTGGAGGAACTCCTCCTGAAGAGAGACGGCCTCAAAGTTCTCCTGCAAGAAAGACCAGGCCTTGGAGGAGACCTCAGGGCAGCCGTGGCTCTCACCAAACTCACAGATACCTAGGCAGTTGGTGGCATCCATCTGCTGCCGGAGGTAGCGGCTGCAGACCTTCTGGATGGCAGGGAAGTGGAGCTGGCTGGAGGTCCTCATCAGCCCCTCCACGTTGCCCTGGTTGATGGTGACCTTTCCCGTGTAGGCAAAATCAAGCAGCATCTCCAGCGCACTGGGGTCGACTTCCTTGAGCTCCACCCGTGCTGCGATGCTCTCAGCAAAGTCACCGGAGAACATGGCATAGAAGTAGTGGCTGCAGAGGGCCAGGATGCCTCGGTGGCAGGGAAACTCCCGCCCGCCCGCCACCAGCGTCACGTCGGCCAGTTTGGGGTTGGTGCGGAACTGCTGCAGCCCCTCCAGCACGCCCTGGGCGTGCGAAGGCAGGCAGAAATCAAAGTCGTCCATGTTCCTCACCATGGTGCCGGGGACGGCCGCGGGGGCTGGCAGGCGGGCGGTGCCCGAGCAGCGGGAGGCGAGGGGGTCCCTGCTAGGAAAAGGCGACGGCGTCTCCCTCTCGCCCTGCCGCGACATCCTCCCGCCTTCCCAGCGCCCGAGTCAGGGACAGCAGCGGCCGCACAAGCGCCTCCCGCACCCCCCTCCCACGGGGGCCGCGTTTTCTCCTCACCACGCCGCAGCTGCCCCGCCGGGCCCCGGCCTTTTGGGGATGATTCTCGGGGTGATTTGAGCCCTCTCGGCGCGGTCGCTCCCGCTCTCAGCAGCGCTCCCCGGCCCGGCCGACCCGCGGGAGGGAAGGGACCGCGGTCCCGGCGCTGGGCAGGGACACGCCGCATGACACGGGATCAGCCGGGACGGGGGGCACTCGCTATTTTTAGGCGGCACCTGGACACTGCTCCCTGCTCTTAAAGGCACCGCACGGGCAGAGCTCTCGCCGCCGCTCATCCTCGGTCGCTGCCTTTAGGAAAGCCTCCCCCTCGCGAAGGGGTCGGCTGGGCACCGAGCCTGGAGGGACAAGCTCCCACAGCACCCTCCCTGCACCCCATCGGCAGCAGGGGTCCCCGCGATGCCCCTCCTCGCTCCTCGGGCTCGCACTGCCGGGGCCGCTATAAATATAGGTCTTTATCTCACCCCGCGGCAGCCGTAAACACGCGGCGGCAGCCGAGGCCTGAAACACCCGCCCGGGGAGAGGGGGAGCTGGGCTGCTGCGGCGGCCCGCCCAGCTTAGCAGCTTTCTTCACCGCCCCGCAAAGCCTCGCTCAGCTGGGACAGAACCGAGAAGGTTTTTATTGCAGCCCGCGGCCTCCGGAGCCCCTCGGCATCACTCCTCCAGGCTGAAGATCTCGGCCTCCTTCTCCTTCCAAAAGGCGAAGCTGCGATCGATGTAGCGACAAATCTCGTCCCCCTCCTCGCCGGGCTGCCCGGGCCGCTGGGCCGGGCTGTACGAAGTCCCGAAGTACCGAGCCTTGATGTCGTCGAAGCCGTCGCGCCAGCCGCGCCGCCCGGCCGCGATCTCGTCGATGACGGCGCGGTGGAAGGCCCGCACCGCCCGCCAGCCGTGCCGGCCCAGCTGCTCAAACACCTCGAAGCAGAGCAGGTGGCGGCCTCGGCGCTCCTCGGGGGACAGGTCCTGCTCCAAGATGCGGAAATAGCCCAGCATGAACAGCTCCAGCGACAGGCTCTCGTACTCGGCCGGGCCGCCCCCCGCCGCCGACACGAACTGCTCCGGGGAGAGCAGGGTGCGGGCGGGGGGCGGCGGCGGGGGGCGGCGGGAGGCGGCGTCCCGCCAGCCGCTCAGCAGCTTCTGGATGGCCGCTCTCTGCCGGGCCAGGCGCGCCGCAGCCCGGGCCCCGCTCCCCGCTGTCTCCCGAGGGTCCCCGGCCCCGGTGGGTCGTAAAGGCGCGTACGCGGAGCGTCTCCAGTGGCTCAGGAAGAGCATCACGATCCGTTCCTTCCTCAAGCTGCCCCACTCCGGCCCCGGCCGCTTCCCCTGCCGCGGGGAGCCGCCGTCGGAAAACGCCTCCTCGCAGCTGATGCCCGAGTCGCTGGCGGCCTCCGCCTCGCCGCCCCTGGCGGGAGCGCTCCCCGCGGCCCCCCAGGCGGGCTCGAAGGCGCCGCGCAGGCTGCGGACACAAACTCCGCACTGCCGGATCTCCCGCTGTGCCAGGCTGCCCCCTGGCTCCCGGGGCTGCCCGCCGGCCGCGGGGAGAGCGGAGGGTGCGGCGGGCGCGGCGACGGCAGCGCGGGGAGCCGGCAGCCCCTCCATGTTGCCCAGCAGCGCGGCCAGGCTGTTGACGGCGCCGGCCAGGCGGCCGCACCAGAGGGGCAGGGGCTGCCCCGGAGCAGGCGGGGGGCTGCGGACGGAGATGCTGAGCAGCGGCGCGGGCAAGAGGGAGCGTAGCTCCCGCACCAGGCGCCGCAGCTCGCTCTGGTACACCTCGCCACGCCGCCGCAGCCGCAGGCTCTCCACTGCCCTCTCCAACTGATGCAGGTCTGCCTCGGTCAGCAGCTCCCCGAACGGGCCCAGCACGGCTTGGTGGGAGGGCGAGAAGCTCCAGGAGCCTGCATCCTGAGGAGAGAGGCGGTCAGCGACTTCCGACAGCCCGCGCCCCCTCTGCTCCCCGTGCCCCTCGTACCTGCCCTCCCGCCGGGTCCTCGTCCGCCAGTCGGGCCCGCAGCCGCCGCACCATCACCTGCCGCTTCCACTCGGGGATGAGCCGGCCCCGCTCATCGTGCGTGGGCACCAGGGATTCCGCGTCTACCTCCGCGGGGTCCGGCCTGGGGGGCCCCGCCGGCCCAGGCGCCCCGTCCTATGCGGACAGAGTCATGGGGGGCTCGCAGGGGCACGGCCGCCGAGGGGACGAGCCGGGGGCCGCGGGCCGAGCCAGCGACCTACCGAGTGCGCGAGGAAGGGCGCCGGGATCCTGGCCCGCTGCGAGGGCTTGCGGAGCTTCAGCTCCGCCGGCACCGACCTGCCGGGCTCCATCCCCTGCCGGGCCGGGCGGCTGCTGGGGGCAGAGGCGCGGGCCTCCTCCTGAGGGAGGGCAGCAACGGGAGGTGGGCCCCAACACCTCCAGGGCCCCCCCAGCTGAGGGGTGACCCGACACATCACCACGGACCTTAGGGAGAACCCTCCTCGGGGGACAGCCACGGGTGGATCTGATTCCTTCCGAGGACAGGACGGAGCTGGGGAATCCCTGCTGCCCGCTATCCCCCTGCAGGCAAGGACCGAGCCCGGGGCCGCCTCATGGCTGCCATCCCTTCTCCGGGCATCTCGTGCCCCCAGCCCGTCCTCCCGCTCCCTGGGGTGACAGGCTGGCACTCCTCGGGGATGGGGGTGCCCATTCCCCCAGCCCCAGTGGGCTCTTACCTGCTGCGGGGGGCTGAGCTGGCTGCTGAAGGGGGTCGGGTCCTGTCGTGCCCTGCTCAGGGAACACCCAGAGGTGGTGTGGCTGCACCCCCAACGTCCCTGTGTGGGGAGCAATGGGCAATATAGGGCAGGAGGGGAGGTTGGATTGCTCGGGCAGCCCTGCAGCGCTGGGGCAGGGCACAGAGGCATTGAGCATTGTATTAATATTTGATGGGGCATCGAGTGGCAGCACCAGGGCTCAGTGGGTGGAACTGGCGCCGTTCCTGGAGATAGTGGCTTGGTGACTTGGCTCCAAGCCTTGTCCTCCTCTTGGGGCCAATGGAGAATGGCCGAGGCTGGTCATGGCCCCAGGCCAGGTGCTGGGGACAAAGGAAACATCTTGCCCAGGGGCACTGAGGGCAGGCTCTGGCAGCGGGGGATGCTCAGCAGAGGGTTCTGCTGCACCGCTGCCTGGGCATCGGTTACTGGCATTCAGCCACATTTGTGTTCTTTCCCTCCACCACCATCCATTATATATGGCTAGGATGGACTCGTGGGGCTCACTTACATGTGAGAAATTCAATCGAGGGGCTGGAATAAAATTAAGAAGCAGCAGATCTAAGCCTATAAACACCGATTAGCTGGCGAGGATCCATTACAGAGTCAGCCTCCCAAGCTTCCCTGGCCCCAGTGCAGGCTGACACCCAGCTCTCACAGGGAGGATAAGCTTATGCTGCCCAGCAGTAGAGCCACAGCACAAGCAGGTTATGCTTTGCTGTAGGAGGGGGGAATTTGCTGAAAGCCCTTTGGCAGAAGATTGTGCCAGGGCTGTCTCCCCCAGCCTGGAGAGCACCTCCCGGGATTTCAGCTTTCCACAGTGCAAGGGTGTGCAGGAGCATGAGAGGGGAGAGGAGGTTCTACCCTAAACCTCCATCTCTGCTTCTTTTCTCACCCTGTTTCTCAGGAAAGCAGGCACCGGCCCCTTTGGGATCTGCTCAGAGAGTCTTGGGAGACTCCCCTTTCCCTTCTTTCCCTTTCCCTTTCCCTTTCCCTTTCCCTTTCCCTTTCCCTTTCCCTTCTCCATTTCCTGGCTGCATACCCAGAAGGATGAGCAAAGCAGCACAGAAACAACCAATCATGGACAGCCTCTCTCCAGTTCCAACATCCACATTATTCCCTCTCCACCAGTTCTTCAGCCTTATCTCACCCTCTGTCCAAGTTCCCACAGCCATATCCTTCCCTCTCCCACAGCTTTCACTCCCCCAGTCCTGAACTAATGAGAAAGGAGCAGAAGAAACCAGGCGAGGCCCTTCTCAGCATCCTGGTTTTCATTTCAGAGGGGCCATGGAGGATCCACATCAAATGGGATCAAGGGGAGGAGGTGCACGTGGTCCCGAGGCCAGGCCTGCCCTGGCCCGTTTCTGCCCAGCTCCCCTGACACTCTCTGGGAATGCTGCTGGGGCCAGGGGGGCTCGGCACCCTGTCCCCATCGGAGAATGTCCAGGGCTGGCCCGCTCCAGGAGCTGCCTATTCCTGCTGCTGCTGCTGCTGCTGCTGCTGCTGCTGGTTCTGCTGCTGCTGCTGCTGCTGGTTCTGCTGCTGCTCCTGCTGCTGCTGCCGCTGCTGCCGCTGGCGCCAGCGCACCACGAAGGGATGGAGGCGGCGGCGGGGGCGGCGCGGGACCGGCCCGGGGCGGCTCTCCTGCTCCTGCAGCACGCGGATGCTCCCGATGGGCCCTTGGCAGGTCGGGCAGGTGGCGGCAGCATCGGGGGCAGCCTGGGGCTGGATGCAGGCGTGGCAGAACACGTGTCCGCAGGGCTCCACGGCAGCAGCGGGGCTGTGCAGGAAATCCACGCAGATGCGGCACACCCGGACGGCTCGGGGCGCCGCTGGCTCCTGCCTGGCCTCTGACATTGCTGCTCTCGGAATTGACTGCGGCCAGCCGCGGGCAGGACTCGAAGGCTTGGCTTCCACTCGGGGCACTCGGAGGTTCCTCAGCCTCTCGTGGGACTCAGAGATTCTTCAGTCACTGCTGTCATTCAGAGGTTCCTCAGTCACTGCTGTCACTCGGAGGTTCCTCAGTCACTGGCAGCACTCAGAGGTTCCTCAGTCACTGCTGTTATTCAGAGGTTCCTCAGTCACTGGCAGGACTCAGAGGTTCCTCAGTCACTGCTGTTATTCAGAGGTTCCTCAGTCACTGTTGTCACTCAGAGGTTCCTCAGTCACTGTTGTCACTCAGAGGTTTCTCAGTCACTGGCAGGACTCTGAAGCTCCTCGGCTGCCGTGGGTCACAGCCTGGGTGCTCTGGCACTGCCCAGCGCTGCTGGTCACAGTTTGTTTATGGTTACCCACTGCAGGTGAGTGATGCTGGCTCTGGTGACATCACGGGGTTCTGAGGGGCACAGCCAGGAGCTCCCCATCCACAGACAGATCCTGTGGCACAAGGCCCACCTGGCAGTGGGCTGCACACCTCAGGGTTTGCCCAGATCCCTTCCAGGCGGTCCCTGCTGTGCCTGTCACACCCACCAGGACCTGCAGAGGACCTGCCCTGCAGAGCTGCTCTCCATGCCGTGTGCTGGGGCTGCACCTCCCCAGGGCGGGGACTCTGCTCAGCCCTTGGTTGAACTTCAGGATGTTCCTATCAGTCTAAACTTTATATGTCATATCTTTGATATCTCAAAAGCAGTAGAAATCAAGGGAATGAGGGATTGAGGACCTCCTGTTTCTATACTTTGCAAAACTTAGTGCTTCATGTCTAACTGATCCTGTGAGGCAGCCAGTGGGAGACTGATGAAATCTGGGAGCCTCCCCAAGGACTGTGTCCTTGCAGAACTGCTGCTGAGAGAATGAAGTAAGAGGGACTGGGAAAAGCTTTCTGTTTTGTTACTAAGGGTGCTCAGGGAGCAGATTTCTCTCACAGCTGGAGAGCCCACGGAGCAATAAAAGAGGCCAGGAGGAATCAGTCAGTGAACATCCCAGGAAGAGAAGGCATGACCCCACACACTGGGGCAGGGCACTGGCTGCAGACCCAGCCCTGCTGGGTGGGCCCCATTCTTTGCCAGAGGCTGTATGTGAAGCAGGAGCTCAAAAGTCCCATGAAGATCAGGGAGCAGAAGGGCATTGCTGCTACATCTCTGCTGCAGTGCCCAGCCAAAAAGATGCAGAAATGGGGCTGTTGAGTGTTTAATGCTGCCACCTCCCTGTTTCCCCCTGGAGAACAAAACACAACAATCATTCTGCTATTGAAAATGTGAGTATAAAACATTTGAAGGGTAGAAAATCTGGCAGAGCTGTAAATCCTGTAAATCCTGATCCTGAGTTCTAAGGAAATATACACTATATAACTATTATTAGTTATATAGACTGTATAACTTAGACCAAAGTTATAAAATGCTTATATAACTTAAGTTATATCAATATAACCTGATATAGCTATATAACCTGGTATCCATCTAGCCTAAATAGTAACTTTTTATATATCTAAATAACCTGATATCTACATAACCTGAATCATAGCTTTTTATACCTATATAACCTGAATCATAACTTTTTTACCTAATAACCTGACATAAATAACTTTTTATACAATGTAATGGCTGGTATATGGTTAACTAGTAGCTTAATGCTGAATAGAAAAAAAACCCAAAAAAAACCTCGACAGGTGGATAGCTTTAGAAATAAATAAGTAATAAGTATAGTCTAATGAAAAATAGTAATAATATATATAATAATAATGAAAAATAGTACTATTACTGAAAATAAATAAACAAGCACCTGCTTTATAGACATCGGTCTGTGGGGATTTATTTCCAGCCTATCTTTTGGGCATCATATGCTGCCAGTCTTCGAAGAACCTTAAAGCTTGTTTTGGTAATCTATTTTTCTTTTGAAGGATTCAGTAAAAATCACTTATGTCAATAAATCTGTTAAAACAGAGAGTGAAAATTGGTGCCAAGCTTTAGAGAAAGAATGGAGAAAAGAACAGCCCATGGTAAGCATTGGTCCATGTAATTAGTACTGGAGACTGTTGAGGCCATAGATACACAAGAACATGTCACGACACTCTCTATGCTTGCCTTAAATCTGGACAAGAATAAAATAACTTGTGATTTTTTTCCCTGCTGCCCAGCCCTGCTGTTTTCTGCCACTGCTTTGGGTTTTTCACTACACTTCAACCCCACACCTCATGTCTGCCCAGACCCCCGAGGCTCCTGCCAGTAGTTTTTGCTACACTTTGTTTGCCCCCTGGCTGTGCCCGCCTCTGCCTCTCGGGACTTTAGCTGGTCAGAGTGACCCCGAGATGCGTTAGAAAGTCTCTTTCTCTAGCCTGGCAGTTGAAGAAGGAGTCAGAACTCTTCTGTTCTCGGTCTCAAGGTTGTTTATTGTTTGTATAAAATTCTTTCTCTGACCCGCCAAGGTCTGTCTAGTAGGTCAGGCTGAAGCACACTGCCCGCCTCAGAGGTGGTGTTATCTTTTTATACTAAAAGATACGTGTACAGTATTTACAATTACTTCCCAATACCTATCACCTATGTTAGACAATGAGCTTCTACTCTAAACCAATCTAAAAGTGCAAACATCACAGCAGAAGATGGAGGCCAAGGAGAAAGACTGGACACACCCAGATCCCTCCATCTTGCCCCCTAAACCCCCATTCTAAAAACCCCAAAAAATCTATTTTTCACCCTGTGATAAATTCACTATCATTCTACTGAAACTTTCGTGGCTTGTAATTCTTCATATAAGGTTGGTAATTGTTTTTTCCAAGGGATAAATCAAAGGCACAGGGGTCTTGGCCTCTCTGCCAAGGCCTCTGAGCCCCCTGGGCAGGGACTTGAACCCTCCAGGGCAGCCAGAGGAATTTCCTGGGTTCTGAAATCCGCCGTTCCAGGCTTCACTGCGGGATTACATCCTGTTTTGCCGTCCGGAGGGCACCGGGACCGGCTGTGCTCCGTGGTTTTGCCAAGCAAAGCCGCTGCTCTCTCTCTGCGCCCTCAGCGGAGCCGCCGTCACCGTGTGAGGGAGGCGGCCGGGCCGCGGCACAGCGCCCCCTGCAGGCGCGGGGGAACCGCCGCGTCCCTGCCCGGCCGGGAGCGCCCCTGGCGGCCGTGCCCGGAACTGCCCGGAACTACAGCGAGAGGAAAGCGCCCGCAGCCGGGAGCGGCCCGGGGGTTGTGCTCGGTTTGCTGATGCTGCCTTTGGTGTTGGTTTGCCTTGTTTTATATATATTTATATTAGTGAAGAACTGTTATTCCTTTTCCTATGTCTTTGCCTGAAAGCCCTGGGGATTTGTGCTCGGTCACAGAAGATCAAAGAAACCTGCCACCAAATGGAGCAAAAAACTTCTGAACATCAGGACAAGGAGATCTCTGCTCAGAGACCATTAGTTGTGGGCAAAAAGCACTGGGTGTGGGCTACAAAAGAGAGACAAGTGTGTGTCTGAGGTCGCTGGGGCAAGAAGGTTGGCATCAGTATGAAGTGCACTTGTGAAGGCCATGGAGTGTCAGAATAAAGAGAAAATACAACAGTGTGTGTCCACAGGGGTGAGAGGGAGAGGAAAGAAAACAAACAGACAACTCCAAAGTGCTGTCTGGTGAAATGTGTCGTATTCCAGAGGACAATGAAGCTTGCAGAGGTAGGGACAGAATATTTTACCTGCTCAAGCATCCTCTTAAGGTCAGTGTTGAATCTATTACTTTGTATTCTCTTCTTTCGGGGTTGCAATTACACACTGCAGATATTCCAGGCTCTTCTCTGAGACTCAGGACAGCTGTTCCCATCCTGTAATGACTTGCTGGGCATTCAGAGAGGAAATTATGTGAGCTGGTGCCATGTGAACATTAGAAGGGTGTTAGAAACAACACGTCAGGGAGAGTGACTGGGCCAGGAGTGGTCAGTGCTAAGTCACTTCTCCTCCGAGAGACACCAAGGGGGGCAGTGCCAGGAAAAAAGAGGCACCGGAGGTGGGGTGGTGGGGGGTGACAGGACAAGAGGCACCGAGCAGGGGACACGGGAACAAGAGGCACCGTGGGACGGGCAAGACTGGACGAGACACCGGGGCTCAAGGCGGAGGAGCAAGAAGGCACCGGGAGGGGCTGTCGGTAAGGAAGGGGGTTAAACAGGGAGGTCCCGAGCCCAGCGGGGCTGCCGGGGCCTACCGGTACATCCGAGGCCGCGCCCTGGCCGTGCCGCCGGGCCGGGCCGGGGCTGGGTGAGGGGTTTGTTGTAGTAACGGCCGCGATGGCGGCGCGGCCGGCTCTGCCCGACTCGGTGCTGGTGCAGGTCCTGGCGCTGCTGCCGCTGCGGGACCGGCTGCGAGCGGCCAGGTAGGGTCTGCCCGGGCGGGAGCGGCCGGCTGCCGCCTCCCCGCCGCGGCGCTGACGGCCGATCGCCTTTCCGCAGGGTGTGCCGGCGGTGGCAGCAGCTGGCGCAGGACCGAGCGGTCTGGACACATGTGGATCTGAGCCCTCACCGGGTACGGGCCGCCCGTCCGCACCGGGACCGCGGCGGGGAGAGTTCCGCTGTAGGCGGGAGGGACGGGGGGAAGCGGCATCACCCCACTGTGCACAGACACTGACTGGGGGGGGTCAGTTCACCCCGCTGCGGGCAGAAGCTGAGGGGACAGGGGTGCCCTTCCCCAGCCGTGCCTGGAACCGGGCCCTGTCTCCCGCAGATCAGCCGCCGCACGCTGTGGCACCTGGTGCGGCACCGCCTCCCCGACAGCCTGTGCACGCTGCGGATGCGGGGCGTGCCTCGCTCCGGCGGCAAGCAGCGGCTCCTCTCCCCGGCACTGCTGGCTGCCCTTCGGAAGCGCTGCCCCCAGCTCCATCGGCTGTGCCTGACCGAGACTGACCTCCGCCATGTCCCGTACGAGAGCATGCCCGCCTCTGTCACCACGCTGGAGCTGAGCCTCT